CGACGAATCCGGAAAGGACGGAACGCCAAATAGTTTAACTTTAGAACAATATACAAAAAGGAAAGAATCCGTTGTGTGCAAACGGCGAAGCAAACGTGGAGTACTAGTCTCGGTCTTAAAGGTTGCCATAGCAATTAATGCAAAGGCAACTGAGAAAAATCGAATTACACTGACCTGAGTAAAGAAAACTTCTACGAGTGTGTAGATTCAGCTGCAGGTTTAAGTTCGTCGGGTATGTTACCAACATGATAAACGTTATCATTTATTACTAGATTTCTGTCCACTACTTTCGCGCTCCCTCGAGTTACCTGCAGTGTCATACCTGTTAATTGAGTTATTTTACATTGGTATTCCTGTGGTGGGGACGGACGATCGGTCGGACGGGCTTACAGTCACGTGATTACCAAAATTTCTCGGATGGATGGATTACCAATTTTATACTACTACATGAGAAATTTGTGCGATTTGATTGGCTTAGAGCAGTGATATTTCAACTTAATTTGAAATACCTACGTGTGAAAATTACAAACCTTTTGTGGGTTGTAATATTTAACAATTATTCGCCCAAGGCGAAGTTAATATTGCTGAATAATCCCCAAGACGAAGTCGAGGGGATTATTCAACAATATTAACCGAGCCTGAGGTTAGTATATACACACGAAGTGATCTCAACGGAATCAGAAAGGAAATTATGAAAAAAACGACAAGTGAATTCATGCGTGAACATGTAACCGTAAACAGCAGATGAACAACAGTTGGATCTTTACAGTAGTTTCAAACATGGCAAATTGTAGTTTTAATTTTTTTTTGTAATTTTAGCATCAATGATTGAAAAGAAAACGTTGAAAGTTTAAATAACTCCCCTTTCTGAGAAGAAACACAGAGCTTTATTTTCTTCTGTCAACTCACCGTGAATGAGACAGTTTTTTTGTCGCTTCTTGCAAATGCTGTCAACAGCGGCTACGATCGAGGTGAGCGATGTTTATCTGCAGTGCAGTGTTCCTTGCCATGTTAACTCGCTGGCACGTACAGTTTTCGAAAATATTTGCTTTCCTTTTTATCTCCATAAATTAACGTCTATTTTCAGGCAAAGTTGATCGTACGAGGAAATCCCAAGTTCACAAAACAGTGACAATAGCGGCCTCGTTTTCCTCTGAGTGGTCAATAAAAACATTGCTTCGAGCGTATGAAAGTCAACTACAGTAAATCACTTCGCAATGAAATCACGCTGTTTAAAAACCATGAATCTTTTCTTACCTTCAAAATCATCAACTCTGGGATATTCTTTCATCTCAAAAAAGTTCTTACTCTGAAACTTGGCAAAACACCCAGTTCACGACAGCGATTTTGTTTTGCTTTAAATTCACCGCCCAGCGCGGTGAATATAACGTCATAGTCCGAGATAGCGAACCAATCAGATTGCTTGAATCACCAAGATCACTGAGTGTGTATAAACTAGAAACAAATAATAGCATTATTTGCAAGTGATATTTGGTATAAACACCAATTGTGATATTTCAAAGTTGTCTCAAATTTCACTCGCCTAACGGCTCGTGAAATTACGTATAACATTTCGAAATATCACTCGTGGTATTTATGCAAATATCACTACAAATCATGCTATTATCTATACAAATTTTCTTAGGTACGGGGCTTCGCTTGTGGGCGCTTCGTGCGCGCGTGGAGCTCCGCTAAAATACACAAAGTACACACATGCCCGCGAAGCCTATAAAGGCAATACGTTCTGAGCACGGCAAAATACAGACGCGACTACCAATGAAAAGAAAATGCACCGAAAAGCATAAAGGCCTGTAAAGCCTAGAAAAGGAAATACGTTCAGTGAAGGCAATAACATAGGAAGTTCAATCTTTTATACGCCTGCAAAGGCTGAGAAAGACAATACGTTCTCGGCAAGGCAAAGACATAGGAAAATCAAACTTATAAATACCCGCAAAGCCTACAAAAGGCAATACGTTCTCAGGAATCTCAGCAGGACAAAATAAAGAAGCGACTGCATAAAAAAGAAAATGCACCGAAAAGCACAAACGCCTGCAAAACCTAGAAAAAAGCAACACGTTCTCAGCAAGGCAATAACATAGGAAATTCAAACTGTTGAAGCCCTGAAAGGCCTAGGAGAAGGCAATACGTTCTCAGCAAGGCAGCAACGTAGGAAATTCAAGCTCATAAATGCCCGCAAAGCCTATAATAGGCAATACGTTCTTAGCACGGCGAAATAAAAAGATATGACTAGATGAAATAAAATTCATGCCTGCAAAGCTTAGAAAAGGCAATACGTTCTCAGCAGGGCAATTACAAAGAATATGAAAATAAACAAAAATATCAACAAAGCCTGCAAAGTCTGTGAGAAAGGCAAAACGTCGGTAGCAGGGTAACAACGTCAGAAATTAACAGAGGCAAAACGCTAAAAGCAAGGCGATAACATAAGTAGAGAAATAAACTAAAAAAATTAAAAATGCCCTCAAAATATGCAGAAAATTAAGATTTTGGAAAGCCTACGAAAGAAGCGGTAAATGTAGCAAGGCAAATGATAAAAGATATTGCAAAAGTCACGAACCAAAAGCTTAAGTACAGGGCCCGCGGAGCAGTTTTTAAAGTGCGGTGGCCGGTGACCTCCTCTTTTGAAGTGGGGGATGGGGGTGGAGGGGCAAATCTGGCTGTTCTCTCTTAAGTAATAGTTGAGCGGAGTCATGTTTATAACTTTCAAGCCGCTGAAAAGTACCTTTCTACTGCTGAGCCTGATTGCATATGCTGGATCCACCACTAGAAGTTTGCAAGTCATGATATTAAACTGTAGGTTCCTGTAACCCTTTCATTTTGTCTAGTATGTCATTGAAATGTGTCAGAGACCATCATCAGCCGATATAATTCGTTTTAAGAAACCGTAGTTCGTGGAGTAGTCTTTAGATTTAATCGAGAACCTTGATCAAAAAAGACTATTCCGCATTGTTGCAAATGCTACATAGCCTTGTTGGTTTGAAAACGCAGAAGTCTAGTACTAAGTGCCGTTTTGTATGAAAATGTATATTACAGTGGAACCTCTATAATGAAGTCCTCGGTCTAACGAACTAGTTTTTTTGACTCCAGTAATAGTAAGATATAAGGCAATATGAAAAAGAGCCTCGATATAAGTTACATGTAACGAGCCTCGTTATAACGAACATATTTTGCTAGTCCCCTGGCCCTTTGTTATATCCAGGTTCCACTGTTCTTGATTTTATTTATTTATTTTTCAAAAGGTTGGGGGGGCCTGGCCCCCAGCCCCTCCCCCTGCGCGGGCCCTGAAGTAGACATAATAAGAGCGCGAAGGAATAACACGAAGACGAGAGAATACATACGAAAAGAAACATGTTTAAAAACAGGCTAGTATAAAACCCAAAAAGGATGAAAATTTAAAAATGCAAACAGGCAAAAACGGTAGCGGAGTAACAAAAGCCAGCAGGACAAACGTAAGGGGAATAAAAGGAGGGGAAAGGGCAAATGTAAAATGCTAAAACAACAAGGTACAAGGAAAACACGTGGTATAAGGAAGAAACAAACAAAGCTCCAAGGTAATTTCTTAGGCTTGGGCCACTTCTTGCGGCTGAAGGACAGCATTACCTTGTACGGGCACTGCAGGCGGAGGCGCGTCATTCGCAGGCAAAATAGCCTGGTCTTCCCGAACGTTATCCGCAGTTATCTGAGTGTCAGCTGGCTGATTGCCTATCTCTCGTGAGTGATTGAAGTACGATTAGATTCGCAGCTTCGAGAAAAAAAGTGTATTTTATTCAGTCACTTTTCTCACGTGCGAGGTGAAACCGCTGACAATTGTACCAGGTTGCGTAATACGTCCGGCTTCACATTCCGGCGTTTGACGTAAACCACATACAATAAGGTATAAAGCCTTTCAATACTTTCCTTTCAACGGTCTTAGAAGACCTACAAAGAGTCAAAATTTCTTGTGGAGAACTTGAAAAGATATAGAAAAGCTGATGACTATCACGGTAAAGTTCCCAAAGTAACGACCCCCCTGAAAGTAGCGACCCTCCGAAAATAACGACCTTCTTGCTAGAAATAACGGAAATTATAGTTACAACAAGCTTTACCAAACTGATCCGAGATATATTTTTTAACGGTTATAGCGATCTTTGACATTCCTTTATTTAACTCAAAAGGCAAATTACATCTTTTTTTCGGCAAAAAAGCTTCCTTTCGTCTGTGAATACCCACACCGTAATCAAACAATTCTTTTGAATATTTATTTAAAAAGCAATAAGATGAAATAAGTTTCTCCAAATAAAAAGTGTGGATGTTTTCTCAATTGTCGCGATATTGTTATTGTAACTTCGTACGGACCATGTACGATACACGTTTTAGCTAACCGAAAGTAGAGACCTCCTGAAAGTAGCGATCCTCCGAAAGTAGCGATAGGAAAAGGCTGTAAGTTACTGTCATTTTTGACTTTACGGTAAAACAGCAGAGTTTTAATAAAAACGTGATTTATTTACGACGCCACGTCCAGAAACTCATTAATAATTCATTAAGATAATACAAAGGAATTGTTTAATGAGTGTCCTTATATCTGATAAAGACACGGCCAGATTTTACGTCCAATTTTATTAGCCAAAATAACTTAAAATCTTAATATCAGGGCAATAATGAAAAGATCTTCATCAGACTGAGGTTTTTAAAGCCGTTTAAGTAATTTTAATAACTCGCAGTTCGTGCTTTATCAAGTCTAAAACACTCGGCTGCGCCTCGTGTTTTAAACTTGATAAAGCACTCCTGCTCGTTTATTAAACATTACTTAAACACCGGATGCGGCATTGAAAGTAAGAAAAAGTAAGTTACTGTCATTTTTGAATTTTCTTTCTTAGTTCTGGTTTGTTTTCTCCCTCTTTTTTAGCAGTTATTAAGAAGACTCGGTCATGAACGTCACAGAAGAAGTTCTGCTACGAGCCACCATATCCTTGGCAGATCAAATTACTTCGTATCTTTATGAAACAAATCGTGTTCTAAAGGCCATCGAGTTAAGCAAAGAACAGTTGTTTCTTCTTGACCACAAGTCACTGAAAAATGCTGAAAAGGAGCTTGTCGTTATCCATAAGCTAAAAGCATATACATATATATTCTTAGGGTACTCTTGTACCAATCAGACTAGGCTTGAAATCGATTATGGCAGAAAGCTTCTGGACTTAACACGAGAGAATAACTTGCGAGAAGTAGAAGGAGTGGTAAGCTTCGCACTAGCGAAACAGTACGCGGATGACCCGCGTCACGTTAATGAAGCAAAAGAGTTGTGTTTAAAAGCACTTAGCATCGCGACAGAAACTGGACGAAAAGAAAATGAAAGCGATTGCTATGCTATGCTACTAGTTATCTTTATTCACTTCGGTGAACATTTCACGGCTAAAGAATATGGCGAAAAAGCAATTGCAATCGCCCAAAAAATTGGCAAGAAGACACGCACAGAATTTATGTGCTATGATCTCCTTGGAGAAATCTCTCGTGTAAACGGAGAATACGTCAAGGCTAAGGAATATAAAGAAAAAGCACTTGAAATCGCCCAAGAAATCGGTGATAGGAAACTTGAAGCACCATGCTACGCAAGCATAGCGAGAATATTGTTGTCGGGGAATGATCATGAATATGTCAAGGCTAAAGAATTTCAAGAAAAAGCGCTTGCAATCGCTCAAGAAATCGGCGACAAGGAAACAGAAGCCAAATGCTATGTGCTGCTGGGAGCACTTTCTCTCATTCGCGGGGTTCCCGGTTGGGACATTGTCAAGGCTAAACACTATCTTGAAAGAGCGCTAGTGTTGAGAAGAGAGACTGGGAGTAAGAAAGGGGAGGCAGACATTCACATATATATTTCAGGAATTTGCCTTTTGGAAGGCAACTTCCCAGAGGCTAAATTACATTGTTTAGCCAGCATTAAACAAGGAGAGCTTTTTCGAAGTTTTCTGAACGGTGACGACCAAATAGCGTATTTTGACAGCATCAGTAGTGTCTTCCAATTTATCAGTTATATGCTTTGCTTTTCTGGGAATCCTCATGAAGGTCTTTATACAGAGGAGATTGGACGAGCCAGAGCCCTGGAAGACTTAATGTCAGCCCAGTACTCTATAGAAAACGAAATCCCAGTCAGTCCAGAGACATGGGTTGGTATTGAAAAGATCATGAAGAAAGAAAGCAATTGTGTTTGTCTTTACATTTCATACTTTAAACACATTATAACTTTGCTTGTTGTTAAGGCGGACAACCAAGTAATCGCAAAGCAAGTGGACATCACTGACTATTTTGCTGGGAAAGGATCAGAAAGCAGAGTGGATGATTTTTTTTGCAGCGACATTTACAGAAAGGTACGTTGCTTAGCTCCAGAGCTGTGCGAAGATCGATCCTGGTTTTCTTCAAATGTTCAGCAGGAGCGAAAGGGCGAGCCATCTCAAGGAAATAGTCCCACTGCGGCCCGCCTTTGTTCAGAAGAGGATGAAAACACAGACGACCAACAGCCCATCCTAACTCTTGCTGATGGTTACAAAATGATCATGGCTCCTGTAGCCCACGAGTTTGATAAACCCGAAATCATCATTGTTCCTTATCGTTCGTTTTTCAAAGTTCCATTTGCAGCCTTAAAGGACGAAAGAGGAAGGTGTTTATCACAGTCTTTCAGGATCCGCATTGCTCCCTCATTGACGACTCTCCAGCTCATTCAGGACAGTCCATCAGACTATCACAGCCAGACTGGTGCACTGATAGTGGGAGACCCTGATGTTGGTGAGGTCCTTTACAAGGAAAATCTTCACCGGATAAAGAGACTGCCTTTTGCAGGTGAGGAAGCAAAGATGGTTGGAGAACTTATCGGTACTCAACCTTTGCTGGGGAAACAAGCAACAAAGCAGATGGTTCTGCAAAGAATAAACTCAGTGTCTTTGATACACTTTGCTTGTCACGGTGACGCTGAGAGGGGCGAAATTATCCTTGCCTCTCCACCCCTCACTGATAGGAAACCTAACGAAAAAGACTACTTACTTACGATGGGTGAAATTTCCAAAGTTCGACTGCGAGCCAAACTGGTGGTCCTTAGTTGTTGCCACAGCGCACAAGGACAGATAAGTTCAGAGGGAGTGGTTGGAATTGCTCGAGCCTTTTTAGGATCCGGCGCACGGTCAGTGTTGGTGGCATTGTGGGCCATACAAGACGAAGCAACAAAGCGGTTCATGAGTTGTTTCTACAAGCACCTTGTTCGCGGGGAAAGTGCTAGTGAATCTCTTCACCAGGCCATGAAGTGGATGAGAGAAAACAAATTCTCTGATGTGGAGCAGTGGGCGCCATTTATGCTGGTTGGAGATAATGTGACACTGGATTTTCAAAAGTTAAGGTTAGTTGCTGAAATGTACGGTGACATCACTGGGTTTAAGTTAATGATGGACAATGCATTCCCGGCTTATCGAGGTATCAACTTAATATGGGTAAAGAGGTTAGTTTCTACAGAAACTTTGGCGCTGCATTGGCCGGGTTCGGGAGGAAGGTGGTGAAACACAAAAATGTGGTTTTATCAAACGTGCCCTTCCTTCGTAGCTTTTAGCTCCAACAAAATTAAAAGTCAGGCGTAAGATGCGGTTCGAATGATACATGTTTATTGTAGAGGGGGAGCTTGAATCTTTTGGTCAAAACAAACACACGAAGTCAATGACGACTGTATTACACTTGCAATTTACAACAATGATTTCCGAAGCTCTTCCGTATTGTAAGAGAAAAGGACTCAGAGAAAATTGACCGGAAGTTAATCATTCTTCTCCGTACCTCATTTTCACGTGATTTGTTGAAATCGAGCGCTGCGAGCTGAGAAAACAATTAAGTATAATACATATAAAGAAGAAGTGTCCATCATTATATTTTGGAATTTAGGATGCTAAGACTGAAAGCCCTTGTGCACAGAAATGTTATTAAATTGTCAAGAAAAGAGGAATATGTTGTTAAAATAAGGGAGGGCGTGTTCGAATTAGAAAGATCATCATCATCATCATTATTATTTTTACCATTATCATTATTACTGTTTTTGTTTTCTTTCTTTCAGAGCTGCAATTCATGAATCGCAACTCAATTTCAGGTAGCCAAGTACAAGAAATGATAGAACTGGATGGGAACTTCTTAAGCCATCAGTCGATACCACGAACACTTGAGCATGATGATAAGCGAAACAAGCGAACACCCAAACTGACAATATAACATAATGTATATAATACATAGAGGTAAATTAAATAATGGATATATCACATTGGATATTTTTTACCCTAAAAACCAAAAGAATTAGGGTCGAGTGAACAGTAGTAGTTGACCAACATTTTGATCATTGTTATTGCAATCATCTTAGTTAAGGAACTGTATATAGTTAAAAGTTTACTGATCTTGGTTCGCATGAATGTTTTATAGTCTAAACGGGACTCCCGAACGATAGTTACAATGTACTAAAAGCTCCTGAAGTGTAAAACCAATTTGTGCAAAGTCCGTACATTCTTGACTTGAAATATGTTTCTTGTTGCTTATCAAGCATTTACTGCGCTAGTCATATTTAACATTTTTTTACAGGGAAAAGTTAAGTGTTGCATCTTCACGAGTATCTCTTTTCGTTAATATTTTTACATGCAATTCAGTTGTAGGACAAAGCACGGGGAAAAGGATTACAAGGGTAGGCGGAGCATAGCCTCTTCCCTTTAGGCCGAGAGTTCCCCTTTAATTGATTCTAAATAATTTTCAATTAATGCCAGTCAAATGGTCTGCAAAAGATAGTTTAAGCAATAGTAACTGGAAGAGATTGTTAGACAGTGTGCGATGGCTTTGCTCACACTCTGTTGTACGAAGTATTGTTGTGATAAATCGTATTGATCAGATATCCAGTGAACGATTCCATATATTTAAGGGGCAGTGTCACCAAGATTCTGTGCTAGTCGAAAATCTTGCGCGAGTTTTTATCTCAGTGGAAGTCGCTAAATAGACTGCTTATACGAGAAAGGTAAACTGAATGTTTGGGAAAAGAGCTTCTTTGGCTATCACCGGTAGTGTCGTCTATATACACAACATGTATCGTGAAAGTGGAGATTCAAGCGGTGCAACTCGTAAGAGTGGGAAAAGTTGTGAGAAAAAGCCCGTTTATTCTTAAACAAGATTTTCGGTTGATACAAAGGTAGAAATTTATTATCCCTTACAGCAAAGGTGAGGGCAAAAACCGCCAATTAAAAAACAATTGACAATTTCACTCAATAGAAACTAGGGGGGGATTGGGAGGGGAAAAAACCCTTGCTCAATGCCGGTGTGAAGACAAAGAGGCTTGTAACCTAGCTTGCTTCAACTTGTATATCACTCTGATCACGAAGTCCTGGATGCTAACCATTATTCATTTGATCCAACATTAAACTCCCCCAAGCCTGACTAAGCAGGATGCATAAAATCATTGACTCCCCCACGAGAGTAAATTTCCTTTATGCCTCATGGTCGTTCTCCCACTCATTCTATAATATTTGGTTCAAGTACATTGCTATGGCTGAGCTCTGTTTGCTGTAATGAATGCAATTCACGACACAAAAATATGCCACATTTTGGCCACTTGAGTGGCCATTTATTTTTAAACGAGATTTTCGGTTAATATAAGGAAGAAACAAATTATCCGATTACAGCAACGGTGAGGGAAAAAGCCGCCAAAGCTCTGAGGGAGTCTGAGGAAGTCTGAAAGACAGCAGCCCCTCGTGCACCCGAAGCCACACCGATGTACACGACCCCAACATGTAACAAGAAGAAGTATGAAAAGCTGGTACTAACATGTAGCCCTTGTTCACATGGAACTACGTCTCTAACACTGTACACAATAGAACACCCCCTGGCACTTAAAGACATGTGTTTGAGCGATGGAAACAAATTACCTCGAGTTTTTTTTAAGTACAGTGAAATTTCAGTAAGGCGTTTTCAAATTTGACAGTGTTATTGGGAATAAAATGCTCAAACACAGTTGACTGTGGTTTAGGCTACTGTCACATGGTACCGGTCGAATTTTCGACCTGTTGAAAAATTTGACCGGACACTTAGTTCACAAGGAACCGTTCGATGTTTTCGTGCTGTTGAATTTTAGATTGTGTCAGAGATTTTAACATCTGCCAATGCGTAGAGCGCTACATTAGTAAGTCCAAAATGGCGTTTCCCAGCTGAGTAACCACGCATCCATGCAACCACGCCTTTGCCGTTCAAAAATTTAGCCGGTCACACCTTGCCGTTCAAATTTTCGACCGTACGGGTATAAAATTTGACCTCCATTTTGGCGTTCATATTTTTGAACGGTTAGGAGTTCAAATTTTCGTACGGTTTATGTGGTTCTGTGTGAACGTGGCCTTAATCACACCTTTGAACTTTGCCTTGTTGTTCACTAGCCTTTTTGTGCACCAGCGAGTGTATTTTAATAATATCCTTTGTACTAAAACATAGGAGAATTGTCGGGATATTTCCCTTTAATTTTCCATGGAGCTTGCTAAAGGTACGAACGTATTTTTGTATAATAGCGATGCTACAGTTTTTAGACAATCTGAAGTTGATTATTTTCAACATTAAAATTAATTATTTTTAACATTAAAAGAAGCAAGGAACGTATTGTCACGATAATGTATCGATATTTTTTTAAAAAAAATAAATTTCTCCAGTTGCTTTTAACAAATATTCTCTCATTTTAGATTCTTTACATTTTTATCCTTATTATTTGGTCGGGTTCCTCTCTGCTACCAGCCATTAAAATTTGATACCTTCATGTTGCACTGTCATCCCCTCTCGTTAGTCCCTCACCCCGCCCATCTCAAGGGAATTTTTTAAGTTTTCTTTGATCTCATGCATACAACATTTCCCCTAGCAACTGCGTCGCGGAAAACGACCAATATATAAATGGTGGTCATTCGTTCGTTTGACGAGATTTTGAGCAAAATTATTCGTTTCCATGGAAGTTTCCAATCCATGGAGACATAGACCGTGCCAAGACAGCGAAACTTTCCTTTAAACTGGGGTTTGTAGCTTAGGCAAATGTTGAGAACGGTCTTTAGCGTGCTCCTTCGAAATTGTGGTTTTTCTTTCTCCGTTTTTGTGAGAAGAAAAAGTGTTTTTTTTTTACGAATTTTCATATATTTCCCTCAGTCTACTGTTTGTTTGACTTGTTCGAAAAAGGTCCAGGTTTTGCAAAATTTAAACCATTTTCAAGGACGACCCTAAGTTACTCTGAATTTGCGAATACTCCCCTCTGGGATCGTTGAAGTCAGCAGTGGTTTCGCTATCCTTAAAAGTATATAATAAGATTACAAAAAACCGCCCACCTACCTCTCCCCTGACTCAAAAATTGCCCTTACCGAGAAGTAAGTGTTAAAGTTGGATTAAGGGAGGGGTAGGTGAATAGATTGCCAGAATCCTTTACTGATCCGTTATCACAAAGTCGATGATATTACGACAGAATTTTTGTAATTTTGCCTTTGAGACGAGAAGTGTACGAAATGGTTTACGATCCTAAAGATTTCCTCCTCATCCAGGGGCACAATTTGGTACAAAAAGGGAAAACAGAGCGTAAATTCATGTACTGTGCTGCATTTTTCAACTTTCATTGAGTAACCACGCTATGGATATGTTCAAATAAAAGCGGTCTTGGAGATGAAACTTTATTTCCTTTGAAGGGATCAAAGGCTTTTCCCAGCCTCCTCCTCAGGCGCTTCATTTTTCGCATCGTAGAGGCGAGCGCGAAACGCGAGAGACTAGTGATGAACCACAAGGGACCATGGAAAAGGTACAGACGACAGGCGAAGCCCCACGTCTCGCCCGTTGTCTCCTTCCCGCCTTCCTTTGCGCGCTCATTTTCATCGAGAGAGAGAGACGTCTGGGTACGAGGCAGGGCTTTTCCTATGCCTTCTTGATTGGTGTGTCGTCATGTCCGCGGGTAGCTATTTTCAGGGCACTCAATGCACTGATCGCCAGCGTATCCCGAGGTTAGAAAACCTGTGGTTCTTCTGTCTTAAGTCCTCTACAGAAAACAAGAAAGAAAAAGTATCTCGAAAGAAAAACAGTCTTGTAAGGCGAAGAACTCCACAACAACTTCTGTAGGACTCTTCCTAAAGGCAGAGAGTCATTTCTCTATGAAAGGGACACTACTGGATTACTGTCTGTACTCGCGACCTTCGTGCAGTTAACGCTACATACCCAAAAGAAACCAAAAAATAAATTCTGGTGTACAAGGAGAACAAAGCAAATATTTTAAGAGTTAAATTTAAATTCAACCGGCTTAAACGCGCATATTCTTGGCGCAAAAACTCCCGGCAGAGTAAGAGAATTTCAAAACGTTAACGATGCTTACACACTTAAAAACGTAATAGTAATGGATTTAAAAAGTCATCTGCGACTCTGTTGAAATTGACTCCACTTAACATTAACTAAACTGCAACGAGGAGTTCCTTCTTCGCCTTAAAACGTGACCGCTGGACACCTTCTTAGCTGACAGATGGCGAACTCTCGTGGAATCATCTTGCGATTTAATCGGAGAAGGAATGGGCACCAGGTGGGCGGTAAAATGACGTAACATGGGCGGTTCCCATGTGATTTGGTAACCACAGACTTTTGCGCGGTTCTTGTACACATGTGCACAGACTTCAGAAACATACCTGTAAGAAGCATAAAGGTAGTGTCAAGGCCATTTGACAAACATCCTGACAAGATTTGTAAACAGCTTTTGGTAGCTTAAGTGATTAGGGGACTTCTAGGCGACTACGCCTAGAAGGGAACGAAAATATTAAATTGGCCATTACTCGAGGAAGTAGATACTTTTAAACTACAAGTTCTCGTACTTGCACTTGTAGTCGAAATTAGATGGTTAGGCGCCTATGGAAATAGAGGACGAGAAAAAGATTATCACACGACACACATGTTACGACACTCATAGGAGGGTCTGAATGGGGTTAACCGACTGGCTACAAACGGCGAAAAATATAACTAACTACCAACAAAACGAGAAAAAAATTAACTGACTACCAACAAAACTAGAAAAAAATACCGACTATCGACAGAAAAGAAATTAACCGACAACCGACGTGGTATTTTATATTTGTTTTTTATTTCTCTGTTTTGTCAAAGGTATTTTGCTTGATTTGTTTCCAGCACAGGAAGGGTCTTTTAGTTAGCTTTATTTCAGATTGGAGGTAAACCCGTTTAAATTCCAGTTT